GTATTTGAGCATATTTGCACAAAAGACAACTTATTAGTTTTTTTTAAATCAAGAGTATTTTTATTTATTTTTTTCACTAATTCAATGGTTTCTGATCTTTTTGTTGATTCTATGTATAGAACACATATATTTCTATGTTATTAACAGCTGAACAGACACTAGTATGTCAATGCTGAAAGAATTTAAGATAAAAACAAAGAAAGATGATGTTTAGTTTTCTCATTTTGTTTAGGCTCTTAAAAATGGTAGAAAATAATTTGGGGGCACAAGTAGGATCTTGATTTAGGCTAGAATTTTAGAAACTAAATGAAATTATCCAGAGACTTGGGAATCTCAGAGTTAGTCAATGCACTAGCCATATGACATAATCATTTTCATTCAATGGAAAACAGTGACAATAAGGAAGAGTTTTTAAAAAGCAACATTACTAGGAGAAAATACCAGGGAAGATTATGTTGATATTGGATAAATAATGTCATTTTTATGAGTAAAGGAAATCATATTGCCCTTCAGATTCATACATTAAAAACCTCGAATTTAAGAAAGTAGTTCATCCAGTGTAATCTATTTTTTTTCTCAAAGAACAATAATAGAAACATGCAAAAAAGTTGTAATACTGCATTCTGTTTGCATATACAGTTAAGACAATGGTGTACTAAGGAACATGCCCTTCATACAAAGATATTTCAAAAACATACTTTAAAGTCACCATATGAATTTTAGTTCAAGAATATATTAATACAATTTATATTTTTTTCTCAGAGGAAAATATCAACTTGCTAGTTAGTCTGGGCACAAAATTCTTTTCCCACTTTTAAGGTATAAGAGAATATGTGATTATAAACTACATTTACTTAAAGTTAAATTTCAGTTGTTTAGGGAATAAAATTAACCTTTAAAAATATTCTCAAGTTTAATAAAATCTAAAGAGAATAGTAAAATGATTGAAATTTTATAGTTTCTCTTTTATTATTTTTGACCTTAAGCTTTCTAATTTAATTTCTAAGTAGAGATGCTATTGCCCTTCATAATTGAAAATCAACAGTCACTTAATTTGTGAATTATACTTATTTTAAAAGAGAAGATACCTGTTAGAGAATTATTCTTTCATCATATCTTTTTTTGAAGACTATCATTATTTTAGAACCTGAGTGCTCTAGATACTGCTTAAACTTGTTTAAATAGAATCTACATACATTTCACTTCTTTTGCTTAGGCAATGAAAGACTAAAATCCCCAGTTTGTAGTTAGAAGATTCACTGTCATAAAGCAAGAGGAGTGAAAATCATTCATCATTCAGTCAGATTTTATTTTATTTGTAGGAGAAAATACCATTCTATGAATAATTGTTTAGAATAGAAAATATATTAGACTTTGATAAGTTTTCTAGAAGAAAAAAATCAAAACAGCATATTTTATAGAGAGATCTTGCTCTTATAGTAAAAGAAACTTAAAGGATCAAAAACAATCTATATTGCAGTATGCATATAAAATGTTAATCTAAAATTAATGTTTAATATTATAGTTGACCCAGAGAAATAGGTATACACATGCAAATGAATATGAAGTATTTCAGTTTAACTACTACTCAGTGATAAAAGCAATAGAGGGAAAGATAGGAATTGGTAATTTTGAATCATTACTTGGATATTTAGCCATTTTGATTTCCTTTTTGTGTGTGTGCTGCTGAGGATTGAGTCCAGAGTCTTGTGTATGCTAGGCAGGCATACTATCACTAGCTATATCCCCAGCGCTCTATTTTGAGTTTGTATAGATGTAGTTAAAAGCTTCTGAATTTTATTCCCATAATATTCTGTACTGCTTATGATAAATTGTAACATTTAATTATATTTCATTATAATTTGTGGTTGTCTGTTTCATCTGTTTGTAAAGGCAGGAGACTACTTGGCAAAGACTATTTAATAAATTAATCAATCTGCTGGGTAAACAGAGATTGCAGATCTCATAATAGACAGAAAGCTCAGAAATGTTAAACACCTTTCCTAATGTAGTGTGGTTATTAAGTAGAGAAACAAGCCTTTGAATCCAGACCTTTCATTATCAAATCAAGTGCTTTTTAATGCTGATCATTTAAGACCTTCTAGTATTTTTGAGGTAAAGAAAATTCATTTGCACATATATTTCTGTATATGACAGACTGTGCATGCTTAATCTGAAACATAGAAAGGGGATTTCTGTGGGGTTTGGCCAATACTGATAGGTTATTAAATTATAAGTATTATAATAAAGATGAAGAAAAAGCTTGAATTGTATTTCCAATTTTGTCTTGAATATCATTACATGGATATTTTATACATTCCTTAGATTAAATACATTCAGAATCAAAATGCACTTCCCCTTTTCTTTAACCCTGAGAAATTGCTGCTTCTCTTTTACCTAGAACAGAGATAAATACTAAAAGATTTATGGTCTTAAAATATGACTCAGTGGAGAAAAGAAAAAAAAAAGCATTACTTAAAAAATACCTGATATGTGAAATTAGATTACTGAAGTCACTGAATTAAAACTATTCATGTACTAATGAAGTTTTACCCCGAGAATTCTTGATTGGTGACAGTGCCTTCATAGTGGTCATTATTGCTAAAAATAATTCTTAAAACTTCTACCCAGCACAAATGCTCATGTTTGGTTTTCATGTATCCTTCACGATCCTAGTAGAATGCTGCTAGAGAGCCCTTCTTTGATCACTTTACCTAAATGAGGTTCTTCTACTATACATTTTTGTTTCTTCTTGCTGTGATTTCAATAAGTATTAAATTATTGTGAAATTATAATTTGTTGTTTCTCCACAAGTATATTTTAACATACATTTGAATAAAATACAAACTCCACGAAGACAGAGGCTATTATCTGTTACTGGTATCAAAGCACTGGTAAGAGTACCTACTTTCATCTAAGCAGTCTTATAAGACTTTCTATTGGACAGATTAATTTGACTTTCTTTACTCCTTTTAAAAAACAGTATTAAAATTGTTTTCTTTTCCTGTACTAGTATACTAATTCAGCATTAAAAGTGTATTTTCAAAATTACAGAAAGGCAATCATTTTATCTTTAAGGCATAATAGTGTTGGTAAAAATTATCTGAAGGGAATGCAATCTTATTCCTAAAAAAATGCAGTGCTTGGGCTGGGGTTGTGGCTCAGCAGTAGACCACTCGCCTAGCACATGCAAGGGGCTGGGTTCGATCCTCAGCATCCCATAAAAATAATTAAATAAAATAAAGGTATTGTGTCCAACTACAACTATTTTTTTTAAATGCAGTGCTTTATATGAATTCATTATCAGTTTAAGGAAAAAATATGAAGTCTCCTGCTTGCCTAAAGTTTCTCAATCAGCATATTAATTTAATAAATGTCAACTTTTTTATTTTTAGATTTTTACTTTGGTGATTTAGAAATACAAGTAATTTAAAAATTGCTGTAATTGCAAAGTTTAAAAAATGCTCAATAACTACTATGTATAATCAAAATTTAGCTAAAACGTTCTGAAAATATTTATAATTATTGCATGTTATTAAGGAAAAATTATACTGTGGCTGGTTCTGTATTCCCAACATTTAGGTCTTAATACCTGATGAACTAAACTTTTACTTAAATTAGTGGACCTAATTTACTTTTAATAACTTCGACTTAGTAAATACGTCTAGCTGATACAGTTCAAATTTAATGCAGTTAAATTATAAATTATTTTGTTTTATAATATTATAACACATATGAGATTTTCTATGCAATTGAGGGTTTGATAACTCATGTTTTTATTCAGATGAAAATGGAGGTGACTGACACCCAAAGGGCATTAACATTCATTTCATATCTAGAATATTCTGATGGTTTTTCTTCACTGACAATTTACCATCTCAATTTTAAGTGATAAATTAATATCAGTTATTTTGGACATGTGTGTAAAAACAATGATATACAACACTAACACTCTGAAGACTTTGCTGAGAAGGTTGTATCATGTAATGTACATGATACAAACTGCACTATCCACATCAAAAACTGTTTGAGATCAGTTTGAGTCAAATGCAATTATAACACTTATAAAACTAATAGAAAAGTTGGAATTGAGGAACACAGTTACATAGGTTCTTAAATGTGATGATAGGAAAAAAAGTCACAGTTTGAAAAATTAACTGTTAGATCCTTAGGATAAAGATAGTATGTAGCCTGATATCTAACACTATGTTTTATTAAAGAAGATAAAATGTTACTGTAAGTTTTTTGATACCAATATTAGATTCATCACAGAGAGAACTTGAATGCAAAAATGACTAACTTATCCAGAGCAGTGACATTCCAGGAGAAAATAATTACAGCAATAATTAAATTTGCTAACTAATTTATTATACACATAAATATGTGGGAAGCAAATAAACTGTCTCATCTTGCCCCACCCTGATTCAGTGACAGATTATAAAATATAAAGACTAAGAAATTCCCTCCCTTCCCCAAAGGTTGGCATTAAAACTTTCTAATTAATTTAGATTTGTTTCCAAATATTAGGCAGCAACATTCTAAGCTGAATATGTTTGAAAAAATCTGGAATGATACTAGAGCAGGGAGCTACCCCAGCCTGAACAAAATTTTAAAAATCCCTTTGATTACAATATTTTGCTAATATTGCTGTTTACTGGCCCCAAATACATTTATCTTCAGTATAAACAAATATTTTTACATCTATATTGATGAGTATGCTCAAAAAATAACAGATCTAAAATAAAGAAACAGGTGCTACAGAAAGTGATACCCTTAACCATGATGTTAGAGTAGATATCTTTCATGAAATTTCTATTTCCTACATCTATTGGGCTAATATGACAATTTGTGAAACAATGGGTGGTGACTACATTATATTCCATTTATTTCTCATAGTATCTTACATGCAATCAAAACATGACAAGCAGGGGGTGAATATTGGTTAGTTTTCCCAGGCTTCATAGTAAAGCAAGTATAAGGTGCAAAGAAACTACACTTACTTTTGGTGTTGGGCAGGAAGCTGTAGAGAGGCGAGATGTAGCCTGAGCACGAGGCGATTCTGAAGGAGTAGTGCTGAGGGATGCTGTGTCTCGTGGGAGCACCTGAACACCACGAGAAATAATGGAGTCTGGAATCTGAACAAGAGGAAGAATTACAGTTTAATATTCTGAAAATTTGAACAATGTATAAAATCAATACTGACATCTAGTTTAATTTTTTTTTTTTGGTACTTGGGATTGGATTCAGTGACACTCAACCACTAAGCCACATTACCAGCCTTATTTATTATTTTTAAAAAATATTATTAGTTGTAGCTGGACACAATACCTTTGTTTATTTAGTTTCATATGGTGCTGGGGTTCGAACCCAATGCCTCACACATGCTAGGTCCTTGCTCTACCACTGAGCCACAACCCCAGCCTCCCAGACCTATTTTGTATTTTATTTAGAGACAGAGTCTCACTGAGTTGCTTAGCATCTTGCTTTCGCTGATGCTGGCTTTGAACTTGCGATTCACCTGTCTCGACCTCTGAGCCACTGGGATCACAGGTGTGTGCTACCGTGCTACACCCCCATAGTTTAAATTTTTTTTGGTATTCTTTGCTGCTCAGGTTTCATGTAGCTGCTGTTACTTACTTATGGTAAGTTATAAATATATCCAAAAGTTTTGGACAGGATAGACTTTCAGATTTAAAATATTTTCTTAACAAATAATATGTCATAAAACATGTACTTGAAAAGCAGTACAGCACCGTAAGTAAAAGTAAAGTGCTTATTTTTTAAACATACTAGCCCTGTCATTTAATAGTTTGAAATTTGATGAAAGATACTCAATTCCTAGATATTATTATCCAACATTCTTTACCCTCTCTGCTTATAACTGACCTGTATGGACAGCACTGACAAGATATTTTGTGTTCCCTGACATCCAATTGGGTTCAGTCAGCGGGAGGCACTGGCAGGAGAGTGAGGCTTAGGAATAAGGAATGGTATTCTTTCCCTTGGCTCCCTCTCGACCAGGTCAACATAGGTTGGCTGTGTCCCTCAACTCAAAATCACAGTTCCTTTTTGTTTATAGCTCTTTCTCTGGATTCCAATAGATTCTCTGGTTCCCTTAATCACATTAGGACTAGGAGAAATGATTCTAATGTTACTAATTCCATAGTAATCCACAACGCTCAAACGTGTGTAAATACTATAGACCCTTATTAAAACCTCTTAAAATACCTATAAAGGTATGTTTTCCCACTTCTGCTAGGATCCTGATAAATATATCATTTGAATCACCCTTTCCTTTATCTGAAAAATGAGGATGATAGTATTTACTGAATTACTGTGACAGCTAAGATAATGTGGGCAACATTTAGCACTCTGATACAGTAAATAGTTAATAAATGTTGGCTATTATTATTTATACCTATCAATATAGTAAAGACTAAAATAAATGAGTCCTATTCCCAAAATACACAAACATAATGACAAATAGTACAGAGCATTTCTAATATTATTATTTTAGGGAATGATTTTTTTTTTTTTTTGTACTGGGGATTGAACTCAGGGGCACTTGACCACTGAGTCACATCCCTGGCCCTATTTTTGTATTTTATTTAGATACAGGGTCTCACTGAGTTACTCAGCTCCTCACTTTTGCTGAGGCTGGCTTTGAACTCATGATCCTCTTGTCCCAGCCTCCTAAATTACGGGGATTACAGGCATGTGCCACTGCACCCAGCTATGCATATTTTAATTTGTGTTTTTGTATACTAGTAATAGCTATGGGTCTACTAACCTAAGAATGGGAACTAGAGCAGTTTCAAGTTATGTACACAAACTTTTATTTTATTTTATCTTATTTTTTTGTGGCCCTGGGGATTGATCCCAGTGGCCTCACACATGCTAGGCAAGTGCTCTGCCACTGAGCTACATCTCTAGTTCTGTGTATAAGACTTGAAAACATATCATAAAGGAGGCTTTGAATCATGCAAGCTATAATATTATGGGTAATTCAATGTTTATCCCTGAGAACTCATTCCTTTGGTGCATATTAAATAACTGGGATTATTTTAAGACAGAGGATTAAAGAAAAGAAAATTGAATTTTCTTTTGTAACATAGTTTGGTCCCAATATCAATTAGAGATTGGAGGCTTGTTCTGTAAATGGGAAAGAAAATGGTCAGAGGTCTGACTATTTTTTGGCTTTTTTTCCCCAGCTACACATAAATAAACTAACAGTTATTCAAGTCTTGTTATTTTAAGCAATTATTCAAGGGCTCTTAAAGTCACTTGGGACTAAAGGAACGACAAGAAATCTTCCCGAGTAGAGGGCCCTAAAGAGGGGGATAAAACTGGTGATTGTTGAAATGGACAGCTGGCCACCTGAATAACTGATTCAGTGTTCATTACAACTGATAGATCCTGCTGTAGCTATGTCCAACTATACAGGCCTCCCCCTTGTCTGTGTCCTCTTTTCTATAATCCATTACTTACTGTGTTACTTTCTGAAATTCTTTTTTTAAAATTTCTTCTTTTTTAAAAATAGATGTATATGGACACAATACCTTTATTTTATTTGTTTTTATTTTTATGTGGTGCCAGGGATCAAACCCAGTGCCTCACACATGCTAGGCAAGTGCTCTTCCACTGAGCCACAACCCCGGCCCCACTTTCTGAAATTCTACTCTGTTTAATGAGCACCTGTAATTTTCTTGTTCCCTACTTGTGGGTACCCAATACCTTATCTATGTGAACTTTTTTTGTTTTTGTTGTTTTAAAAAGGCTCTTTATTTCTTTTTCAAAATCTGTCTTACAAGATACTTTCTTTTCTGTTTCTTTATTAAAGGGGATATCTGACACATTGGTGGTTTTCTGTTAAAAAAAAAAAAAAGATCTCTATAGACCTTAGCTTTGACTCTTGCTCTAAACAACAGATAAGCATCTAACAAAGAGTTCGTAAAAAAAAAGCATCAGGCAGACATTTTATTAACAAAAGTTTTGAAAACTCAAAGGAGGCTTTCCCAGGTGCTCTTTGGTATTTAATCTAGAGACAGGGTCTCACTGAGTTGCTTAGCACCTTGAATCTGCTGAGCCTGGCTTTGAACTCTGGATCCTCCTGCCTCAGGCTCCCAAGCCACTGGGATTATAGGTGGACATCCTGATTTTCAAGACCTGTTTCAAAGGTTGTTTTAAATTATAAACTTAAGGAAAGTAAAAAGGCAGAAAAGAAGTGGATCAAAAACTTAGGCACTAGACCAGAGACCCTGTGCCTAACAGAAGAAAAAGCATGTCGGCTTAGGATCTGACTTCCTTAATAAGACTCTCAAAGCACAAGAAGTAAAATCAAGAATCAATAAATGGGATGGATTCTTCTGAGCAAAGAAAATGATCAATGATGTAAAGAGATAGCCTACAGAAAGGGAGAAAATATTTACCACATGCATTAATCTCTAGGATATATAAAGAACTCAAAAAATTTAACACCAAAAAAAAAAAAAAAACCCCAAAAAAACAGCCCATTCAAGAAATGGGCTAAGAAAAAATGTTCAACATCTCTAGCAATTAGAGAAATGCAAATAAATCAAAACTACTTTAAGATTTTATCTCACCCCAGTCAGAATGGCAATTATTAAGAATACAAACAACAATAAATGCTGGCAAGGATGTGGAGAAAAATATACTCATACATTGCTGGTGGGAATGCAAATTGGTACAACGTTATGGAAAACAGTATGGAAATTCCTCAGAAAACTTGGAATGGAACCACTATTTGACCCAGCTATCCCACTCCTAGGTTTATACACAAAGGACTTAAAATCAGCATAGTACAGTGATGCAGCCATATCAATGTTTTAGCAGCTCAATTCACAATACTTAAACTATGGAACCAACCTAGGTACCCTTTATTACTCAGCCTAAAAGTAGAACAAAATTATGGCATTTGCAGGTAAATGGATGGAACTTGAGAATATCACGCTAAGTGAAATAAGCCAATCCCAAAAGACCAGAAGCCAAATGTGTTCTCTGATGTATGGATGCTAATTCCCAATTGGAGAACTAGGGAAGAATAGAGTTACTTTAGATTAGGTAGAGAGGAGTGGAGGGAGGATAGGGGATATGGTGGTAGGAAAGATAGATAGTAGAATAAATCAGACATTATTACCCTATGTACTCATAAAACTATATAACCGGTATGATTCTACATCATGTACAACCAGAAAAATGAGAAACTATACTCCATTATATATGATGAATCAAAGTGCATTCTATTGTCATGTATAACTAATTAAAACAAATAAAAAAAGGCAGAAAAGAATTATGTAGAAGAAAGATATGTACTACAGTCATAGTTATAAGGACATATTTCAGTAAGGAAAGTTATAAGAAATGTTTTCTATGGTAAAGTAAGATTTTTGTCCTAAAGTCTAAAATAGAAAAGAGAGGACAAGACTAAGGATATAAACAATTGTAGAATGTCCAATAAGTCAGAGAAGGTTTAAGGAAGAAAATTTTAGGAAATGTGCATTTGTGATTAAGTTGACTATAATTAAATTATTGAAAGATTTTTCTAAGGTCAAAATTTAATGTATTAATATGAAACTAGAATCTAATAATCTATGTTTAAAGCAACAATGTTTTCTATAAACATTAATATGGTTTATTTTATTTTATTTTTTGGTACTGGAGATTGAACTCAGGGCACTCAAGCACATCCCCAGTATTATTTTGTATTTTATTTAGAGACACGCTCATGCCATTGCTGAGGTTAGCTTTGAACTTGCAATCCTCCTGCCTCAGCCTCAAGTTATTATGATATATTTGCTACTCTAAATATCTGACTAGAGATGTATATACATCTAAGGGCTAAATATACCATGTCTGAGCTTTGCCTAACTATTGTAATACAAGAGCTTGTAAAGTTAAGATACGTAGGTTTAATAAATGGTAACTGATAAATGCTCTCCTTTGTACAATATGAGACATTTTTTATTATATATTTGCTATGCACTTACAATTACGTTATTTCCTAAAATTATAAAGGTCTAGAGTTATTGATTTTTTTTTCTTTTTGAAAGATGCATTTCATTTTTCAGAGCAGTTTTAGATTCACAGCGAAATTGAGCAGATGGTACAAAGAGTT